TGGACTCTAGAGAGAAGGTTATATATGATTTATTAATATATTCTAATTTATTAATATGAAATCATATGTTTTAATTAGTATTGATCAAGAATTAATTTGGAATTAATTTAGTGATCAAAAGAGACTAATTAAATCTATGGGGACTAATTATGGTAATTAGTTATATTTATATGAGTTGGCCTTATGATCCATGTTGGACTAAGTTTATGTATGGATACTTAAAGAGTTGGGCCACATGAACCATGGATCCTAAAACCCATGGGTATAGATTTGGGTTATACCCATGAATCTTGAAATCCCACATATAAATATGTAGTCCATTGCCTAAAAATGCCACTAGAAGTTCTTGGAGGTGTTTTTTGGTGCATGGAGATTCTCTCTCAAGTTTCATCCTTAGTCCATGATGTGTTGTGACTTCATTTGAGGCTTCCACAATATTGGGGCTAAGCTTTTAAGGCTAAATACATCAAGACCTCAAGCCACATAAAAGGTATGTTGCCCTATCTAGTATCTTATATAGTTTATGACAAATACATGCTATTTATAGGTTTAGTGCCTTGGAAACCATTTACATGTATAATTTGTGAAAACATAGATCTAAGGTATTTAGGGTTGTATGTGCACCATAGGATGTTGTAGCATACTAAAACCCATCATAACACCTATTTTGAGGTATCTTTGATTTTGACCCTTGATATGTACATAGTTTGCAAATTTGGTCCTAAAGGGCATTATTGTAATTTTTGGGAAGGATGCATGTATGTTAGGTGTACTTATAGTACACATGGTGTATGTGATCAGGGGACAAACCCTATATTTAGGGTTTGGACCCTATTTAACAACCTTATAGGCAAGTTTTTCTCCTTACCAGCCTCCTTATCCTCTTTAGAGTCCCATTTCAAAACCCTAACCCATTTCAAGAGAGAGTTGACATTTTTTGGTTGTTTTGGTGTGTATTTGGTGTACCTTAATGAAGAAGAATCTTGGTTCAAAAGAATTGATTAAGAAGGAGCTTGTAGATCTAAATTTTGTCCATCCTTTTCATCTTCATAAAGGTATAAAGCTTTAACCTTGCTAATTCTTTGCTTAGATCTATATCTAGTGGAGTTTTGGTCACTTTTTGGTCCGTGAATGAGATCCAGTTGGAATTTACCACTTCAGAAGTTATGATTTGCTCCTATTGATGTTTCTGAGTTACCTACTCCACAAAGTTAGCTTCTTGATGGTTAAGGATCTACCATGCATGAGTATATGTCCATTTTGTGGAAGTAGGATGCTAAATCTAATGTTTGAGTCCATTTGAGCCATGCAAAGGCATTAAGTTAGTGACTTTATAGGTTAAGATGTTCCCTAAGGTCTAGATCTGAAAAATAGATATCTGGTCTTAAAGAACAAAGTGCATAACGATGTTTTAGTCATCAAATGTATATGTCGTGCATAATCTAGCCTATGTTTTGTGTACGTAGATGAATCCCCGTAATCTTGGTCGCAATACCCAAGTGGTATGTTAAGCGTACTCAATCAGGGACATCATGGGATTTTGATTTTGGGCCATTAGATATTAGGGTTTTTGGACTCTTATTGGGCCACACGTATTGCTGAGTTGGGTCATTATTAAGCCTTAGGGCTTCATGGATTTAGGTCCATATTGGTCCTTGAGTGTCTTTTAAGATTTAGGCTAACTTAGCCAAGGTAAAAATGGTATTTTACCCTGGGATTCGGGATTAGTTTTTTAAATTCTCGATTATGGTTATGACCCAATTATTAATTAGGGTTTTATTTTATTGATTAGTACATGGATTCTTTGGTTCAGTGGCACGCGCATCTATTTTATTGTTAGCAAAATGAGGTCATTTTGCTCACTATACTGTAGGACACTAGGGATTATATGTGTTTGTAGTCTTTGTTACTCCTGATATATGTGTTTTATACATGTGTGCTTGTTTGCAATATGTACGTGGGTTAAATAGACCCAGTGATAAAATAGACCCGGTAGATCCATATGTTGACACATGAATTGAAATAGCCTCAGGGGTGAAATAGACCTGGAGATGAAATAGATCTACTGCAGCCTTGGGCTAACATATAAGTTGAAATAGACTTGAGGTGAAATAGTTACGGGGGTGAAATAGACCAGGTACAACCTTAAGTTGACGTATATGTATGGTATGCAATATTTTAGGGAACTCACTAAGCATGGTGCTTATAGTTTTCGGTTTATGTTTCAGGTACTTCCAGTTCGAAGGGGAAGGGCTTGGGATTACGGAATTACACACACCATGATTTTCCACTTTATTAACTCTGATGTACTTTTGGGATGTTTATTGATACTCTCTGAATACTTTATGGTTTTTTCAAACATGTTTGGTTGATGGTTTACTTAATATAAAAACAAAAAAAAAATGTTCTGAGTTTCGGTACATTACAACTTGGTATCAGAGCCTTTGTTTGAGGGATTTGGGTATTCTCTCGGGTGTGCCTGAATTCAAAATGAGGACTTGGTAGATTTTTCATAAGAGGAAATGTTTTATAGAAGAATTTTCTAATAAAATAAAGGGGTGTGGTACATCCAATCGACTGAGCTCAAGTAAGTTTTCCTAAAATACCCATATATGTTCTTGTGATATGCTTTGAATTGTGAATATTGGAATCGCATGCTTGGCTAGGTCGAAGGATTTGCTGAAGATTTGCACGATAGAATGTTAGGGGAGATGCTTATATATTCCTGTTGTACAAGCTTGTAGACTTGCATGCTAGTATTGGATTAATCAATAGTAGGATGGCCTGTTTAGGTTATGCATTGATTCAAATTAGTCAATGCATGAATGATGACTACTTCGTGCATTTAGGAGTTCACATTAACATCAGCTAACTAGTAAGAGAATATGTTAAATTACATATTACTCAGATTAGATCATTTTAGAAGGTTAGGTTTAACCCTTTGTGTAGCTCTAATCTGAGTCCAACCGTGGTAGTGTGAGACCTTTTTTTTAAAAAAACTATTTGGTGCCGTTGATATGTAATTATGTTAGTAAGCTAGTTACAAGGTGTTTGAGGGAGTTCCTTTTGCAACTGATAACAGAGAGTGGTGTAGTGGTAGCCCTAGGAAAACCTAGAAGGTGATTCGTTGCCGAGAGTTTTGCTTTGCTAGAGGTTGTTTGGATTGATATGGAAGTAACTAAGTGATCGGATTTGTACTAACAATCCTATGTGTGCATGCAACCCTACAATTGGATCTATGTTTTTACTATTAGATACACAACATTATGAACACATAAAGGAACCCTAGTATGCCCTAGTATTTTCGAAATTCATATAGTAGATTAGATTACATACCTTTTGTTGTTATATTGCAATAACAACTCAAATCTTTAATACCTAAGTCTTGAAAGCCTTTAGGATGGCATGGAAGAGTTCTTATGGCCTTAGGGGTCTTTATATAGGTGTAGAGATTAGGGTTTCAGTCCTTATGCTTATCTAGTTGCTTGCCCACCAAGCAATCATAAGATAAGGCTTGAAAACCCTTATCCTTTATCCTTTGGACGATTTCAAGGATATCTTATCCCTTGAATTCGTCCAACCCATATCAAGCATAACAATTACACTATTTTGTAACTATCACATAATTACAATTCAACCCCTCTAGTTTAATTAATTACATTTGATCACAAAATTAATTGTTAATTAATTATTGACCAATATTAAATAAACAAATATAATTTCTCCTTTAATATATTATTTTTATAACATATTAATAAATCATAATAACCTCTTTCTCTATTATTTCTCCAGTCAAGTTTCTTTGGTGAAGGCAACCCAAAAGGACCATGCACAATCGGGTCAAGTACTTACCAAATATGGTTATGGGCTTAGACACTAATCCAACAGTCTCCTACTTGGATAAGTCTAGTAACCACAAATGTAAGTACAACTCGATTAGCAATCGTAGCTCTCAAAGACGTTGTCAAAATCTGATCTTATGAGTAACCTGTCCTTTATATAAGGGATCATATATTCCTCCATTCTAGATATCGTATAGACGTGAGACATGAATCGAAATCATTCTCTCAATCTATGTATTGTTTCCTGATTTCCGATTTACGACGACTGACTAATTGAACAAATCAAATTAGCCCTAGCTCGGTCGATCATTTACGTTTGTCATCACTAAATCATTGAGGGGCCCACATATATCTCTTTTATCCCACTTTGGGTAAAAGGAATGCATAAACTTCGACTCAATGCTTGCTTGCACTCACTCACCAAATCACACACAACAATAAGTTTTATAACACCAAGTTACTTGTGCATTTACATATTATCAATGTGCAACCGATTCACAAGATACAACTCACACATCTTGGTTTCAAGAGTACAAGATATTAATATCTCACCAATCGCTCGTGACAAAATTCGTGAAACAATCTAGGTGAGCATGGGTTTAATCTAATGCTCAAAATCATATTCATAAGCACTCATGAACATTACAGCAAACCTTTGCTATGTCCAATACACTTTAGACAATCTACAAACCAATTCATGACAGTCTTCTTTCATACCTACTTCCAACGTATGATCGACTGTGGACCGTTTGAATAATTCGATTATTCTTAATAAACTCAATTATTCTAGAAGTCAAAACATGCAAAGAGAAACACAATGATAATACTTAAAAATGAAAAGGATAGAAGCTGGAGACTGGCCTATATTCCTACTAATGTGATCCCCATTACTGAAAATATGTTATACACTACGATATATTGCTCTGATGTTTTTACAACTATCTTTTTTGAAGCAGATAGTTCACAGTGCTCATTCTATCGATACTGGGAAAGAAAAAAAATGTTTACACTCAATTTTCATTACGAAGATGTATCACGTCAGGATCCGTTGCTCAAACCGAATCACGCCAACATTATGGAAGTTCCTGGATCGTGTAAAATAAGAGTAGTACCAAAGGCAGCACCCTCTGATTTCATAATAAAAATGGAAAATTGGCTATGGAGATTCTGTGCGGTCAGAAATTAATACAGACACAAAGGGCTTCGACAGGAAAGGAGCTTCGATCCAATCCATTCTTGGGAAAAAATCAAGACAAAAAAGGATATGTCAGTGACCTAGCACGGCAAAGCACTCTACGAGGGCATGGAATGTCTCATTTTTTGGTAAGAATCTCCGTAGTAATGTCTCTATTAGATTTTCCGATCGAAATACGGGAAAAGTCCATTCAATTCTTGATGGAAATGGAGTTTTGCGAATTCTTCCCGGAACTGGAAGATCATTTCGAGATCTTCGAACATATTCGAGGGTTCAATGTCACTATTGTCATTTCGAGATCTTCGAACATATTCGAGGGTTCATATCACTAGATCAATCGGTATCTTTACAAATTTACCACCGTGGAGCGGTTTTTTTCAAAAAGATGAGGGGGAAAGTCAGTAAGATGTCGGAGAAGCAAAATATACGAGATCACAAACATAGATTGCTCGTGGCTAAGTATGAATTGAGACGAAAGCTTTATAAATTTGTAAAGATACCGATTGATCTAGTGATATGCGGAACAAACATCGTTAGAAGTTGTCCAAGTTGCCAAGAAAGAGTTCCTTTGCACTAGTAAGAAACCGATGTATTTCCACAGGTCGCCCTTGTTCCGTATATCAGTTCTTTTCTTTTGAATTTATCATCTCGTTTTTCGTGGATTAGCATCTCGAGGTCCTTTGATGGGCATAAAGAAATCGTCTTGGTAGAATCAAACCAATAGAACAAGGGTTAGCTCTGCAGCCGGTCTACAAGCAAGGTAAGTAGGTCCATGCGACCGGCCCCGGATGTACCCTTTAGCCGCGAGGGGAACCGGGTAAACAAAGTCGCGATCAGAATGAATGGTAGTTCGCTGGCCCTGTCTTTTGCTCCCAGAGGTGCTGGTTCGAATCCAGTTCGCGACAAGTACTCATACTAAAGTGTGCTCCGATAGGTATTTCCACTGTTCGATACCTTTTCGTGATGACTGTTCCCTGCTCCATTATCAGCCAACGGCTCTAACCGCTTCTATTGGCTCAGTTGGATGGAGTACATCTTTGTGCGAGACAGTGTAGGAGTTGAGATCCAGTGCGCTTAAACTCTTCTAAGAAGGAATGATTACCTGGTAAAAGCTTGAAGCTATACCCTTTTCATTCAAGTTGAGCTTCGATCCTAGGGAAGAAAGAGAGAGGGTTTACCAGCAGTGTACACCTTCACCCTCTGCTAGTTGACTTATGAGCCCTCCCCTCTAGGCTGACAGCTTGCAAGTTAGTATGACATCCAGTAAGAAGTCTATCTTTTCGGGATGCAGGGGCAATGAAACGAGATGGGATGTTATATAGAATATAGGTAGCTTATGTGCATGTTAGTGAAATACCTGGTTGTCGAGTCATTCAGCTAATGTATGATTCCTAGTTCAATCAAAAAAGCCTTAGAAAAAAGGACAGGGAGCTCTAGCCTATTTCAATTTCCGGATCTAGCTCAAAAAAAATTACAGCGCTGGGAGAAGAACTGCGGATGTGTACGGGGGTAGGTAGGCCAGTCAATAGACTCTCTTTCTCTCAGCAGAAGCACTGGACAACTTGACTCAATCACATACTAGGGACCCCTCTTTCTAAGTTTGGTAGTCTCTCATCTATAGAGCTGGGCAGAAGGAATGTACCGAACGAAGTTGCTAAAGGCTGGAATCCATCCTTCCATTTGATCAAAGGCATCAGAGCATAAGTAATTCACTCGAAAGGAGAAGAGCGTCAAGCAGCCCCAACTCTAGCTCCGTAGAGCAGGAGAATGCTCAGGTCCGTCTATGTGTGATTCCTCATTTTCTTCCTAAAACGTGAGGTGAGCTGCTGATTCTACTCTTGGAGTTACTCAATATAATGCTTCCTGAAAAGGATTTGAACCAAGAAAAGAAGAAACCCCCGGACTAGAGCCTTCAGTGCGGGTGGTCAGGTGAGCCCTTAGAAAATTGGCTTAGAAAAGATGAGATAGGGTGGATGATTGATTGGTACCGGTTAATGATGCGATGGGTCCTAATCAATGTGATTGCCATAGTTCACTTTTAGCCCTAGCAACATATAGCAGTTGCATTTGACCGAGTTGAAGCAGCAGATCCAACCAATCCGTTGACCAAGTGAAGGCTGCATAGGCACTAGTCACGAACGTCCAACTCGAAGCAGCTACTTCACCCCTGGAACAAAGCAGTGGTCCTTCTTCGACAAGTGAGAAGCCAAAGTCAGATAGAAGGGCTTGCCTTCCGCACTTTCGTAATCTTATATGACCCCAAACTTGTGAGTATAAATAAAACACATTTATTTAATCACCATATTGATTACTCATTATCCATTGTTTAACGTTTCAGATAATCAACTTTATAACTCGAATCATAACCACAATTGTCCCATGCTCCAAGCATGCACACTTTGGTTTCCTATGGTCCATACTTTGTGAAATAGATCAATTAAAACTTTTCAAATGAAACTCATTTCACAATCCCCAATCTTTATAATTAGTGTAAGAATACCAAATTATTTCCACCTTTTAGAATATGTCAAATTCTAATATTCTATGCAATGATTCTCTTGTGAAGTCATGGCACAAAAATCAAAAAGACTCGGCCAAGGAAATCACAAGGTACTCTATCAAAATTGTTACAGAACAATTCTATAGATGTGATATCTCAAAGTACATTCCTTTAAACATCCTTTGGCATAAAATTTTCTAATCTAGACATAAATTCTTAATTTCCAACTCCCAATTATGGAAACATTTCCATATTTACCATATGACAACTCATTCTTAATGGAATCTTATCTATTCATAATAATGTCGATATGGTCCATTCAATACCATACTTCCAACTACTCACAAGCGACCAATCCTCTGCAAACTTTGGATCGCCCTTTGATAGTTGTTTAATTATTTCAGTTAAAACCAGTTCTAGTCCCTTTTCCCTCTTAACGCCCTTGGCATTTGGAAATTTTTAGAATGGTCAAATGTTATAGCATATGCAATTATTCATATACCCGAAGCATATGGGACATGATGCATAATGTCTTACATAAAGATACGATACTCTATCAATCTTCTGCCATAATATTTTATGTGTCAAGTTATTTCAATTCGAACTATGAAGAGGGATGTCATAATCATAATCAAAATTTAAGAACTCACCATGTATCCTTTGACTAAATTTATTAAAATTTCTAAATCTAAGCCTTAGATTTTGAAACGAACTACAATATTCTCTCCCTTAATTATAGCAAAACAACTTTTCAACTCTTACAACTTTGCAAAGTATAACTCTTGTTTTCTATAAATAATATTGCTAACTTGCAATACTTACCATAATAATCATGCTCCCACTTACATGATAATTATTTCTTTATTAGCATAACACTTATGCTCCCATTAGCTTTGACATGTATTCAGAAATCAGCTGAACTTCTAGAAAACAATTTCTTAAGTTCATATTTCTAATACTAGATGCTTCGATAAGACTTTATCTAAGATTCTCAAACTCATACACTTTTCCTTGGACAGCTCATATGTATATGCCTAAACGATTCTAGGACTCATATCAATAAGCACTACAAGAAAAAGACCCTTTTACGACGTGCAAACCACGACACTCAATGATTTATGTTACGCAAAGGAGAGTGACATTAAAAGAGTGTCGACTATTCAAAAAATTTAAGGATTTAGGTCACGCATTATTGCGTCCCCTTAAATAGTGTCTCATGTAAAAAATTAAAAACACAGAGGGCACTCGTGCGTCCTCTGTGAATGTCGTTTTATATTTTTTTTAAGAAACGGGCGTCTCTAAGAGGGAAAATGAAATCCCCAAATTTTTTAAACACCCGCCTTCTTCTCCTACATTCATTTCCATATGACTCTCATATCTACCCTACATCGTCTCCACCTCTCACCTACATCCACTGCCTCACAAAATTTTTACAAGCTAACGATTCCAGAGCCTACTAGCGATTCGAGGTTATTTTCACATCTGCTCTACTTCCCATCGTCCATCTACTTCTGCCCTAGATCCAACGATTGAAGAGTACAAATATGTGTAGGGTTTTATTTTATTTTAAGCTTCCATTTCTCCTGTTTTCGTGGTGATCGACCGGTGGTGAAACGATTCAGTGCCAAAAAAAGAAGCGGCTCTCCATTCTCTTCTCGATTGAGATTTCTAAGGATTTACATCGGTATCTCAAACGACTTCAACTCTTTTCACATATTTCTTCCCATCTGATTTTATGATTTCAGATTTCTTATTGGTGACTCATTTCCTCTCCCATCGAGTTCGAAATTTTCACTCAAGGAAGTAATGGCAGCGGAAGATGATGAAGGGACTTCAATGGTGCTTTGTTTATTACACTATGGTAGCGGAGATGACGGTGTTGTTGATAGCCCTAAACAATAGTCATCTTAAAAGAAATTGTCAAATAGAAAGGTACGTATCAGTTCTAGAGTTCTTATATAAAATCAGGTCATTTCTACCCTTCTTATATAAAATTAATGAAATCGATTTTAAAAGCGAGCCATAATATCGATTTTGAAATTGAGTCTATTCCGGTAATATTCATGTTTGTAGAATTCGATTATTCTGGTTTTGCCCTAAGCATCGCTTCAACAGAAATGGAAGAACAAAGTGATTCGCTAAATTTGTTTTTCAGTTCGTATTGATCGCTAATTTTGTCCCAATCGCTTCCAATTCGATGTTCCAGATCAGTTTTATATTCGAATTGGTAACTAGTATGGTAAGATTTTCCTTGATGCTGTACTTGATTCTGAGTGTATTTGATAATATCGATTGTTGAATTGGGACCTTATGGTTCTTCATTGTTGTTCTATTATCAATTGTTGATCTGTTTTCCATATGAAAACTAAATCTATTAACAATGGAGTTGTGAATCAATTTGACTATCAAAACATGATTCTTTAACATGCTTGTTAGATGTTTGTTGAAATGTTTGAATACAATTGTTCAATTTCTAATGAAAGCTTACCGTCATTCTTTCTCTTCTAATTTCTTATTTTATTTTTCTGAATAGCAGTAACATCAATCGAGATTAGTGGAAATTGGTTTTTATTTTTTATAGTTGATACTTGAGAAAACCTTATATGTTTTTTTCTTTATTTTGTGAAAATTAATTCCAGGTGAAAACAGAAAATGGTATGTTGTGTTAGAAAATGACAATCATACCCCTGGTCACAGTAGTCTCATATCATTATTTCCATTCTCACCTTCACTCCAATGCCCATTATTAGAAGAAATCAATGAGCTCCTTACCAGCTACTGTTGCTAGAAGTTGGTTTGATAATGAGATGAAAGATGATTGTTGCCAACCATCCTTGAAGGATTTGCAGCATAAAGTTTCTCTTGGTCATGCCATACACTGTTATATAGTTCATGGTTCTGCATAAAGTGAAAACTTTTGCTTCTAGGTCATCCAAATGTACAATGTGGTTTTTCATAACATCAGGTACAAATGTAGATTTTTCATAACATCAGTGAAAATCTTAATCAGTTGAATGTGTGTTTCATAACATCAGGTACAAATGTACAATGTGATTTTTTTATTCAATTACAGGGTAATCTTATTCCGGAAGGCCATAAAGTTCTTATCTTTTCCCAGAGTTGCATAATGCTTGATATTATTCAGGTTTGTTTCAACGCCTAATGTTGGACAGAAAAAATGATGGCATACTTGGAGAAATGGAAGTAAAAAATAAATGAGGGCATAATTTAAGAAAAAAAGTTTGGACTTAATAGGGAAAGCCTAATTTTCCTTACTTTCCCTATTAGATCCCTCTTTCTAAATTAAGTCAAAAAGAAACATGCATATATAGCTAACCAGATAAAGTCTTGTCCCCACTAAGTCCATTAAGTAACAAAGAAACAAATTCTAATTAGTTACTTATGATCATCTCATTATTAGATAAACATGATACCTGGCTTTCAGTCAAAGTTAAATTAACCATTTTATTAATATTTGTTATCTTAGGGATTCATCTCTTGAAGCTCACATAAAGTTTTTAGAATCTCTTTGTGTTACTGGTATTAGTCACCATAGTTTGCTGTTCTCCAAGATTGCTCCAGTGCCAGTCATGCAACATTTTGAATTGAGAAGGTAAGACCCCTAACAGCTTTCAAGGGCATTAAGGGATTTTCTAATATGTTCCCTAGGTCACATATAAGAAAATGTAATTATGGAAACTAATTGTATTCGAACTAAACTTATTAATTCTCTAGACTTCCTGCTGGGAAGGATGAATTTATCGGTGCTCAAATATTGTGACCTAATTAGTTATTCTAATCACATGGATATCTTTGTTTTGACGATGAAATTAAGAGATACATGGATTTGGGAATTTTTAACCTAATTGATACTTGATAGGACTTAGGAGTATCAACTATTATATGCCAAAGATTATACATTTATGAGTATTTTGTTTCTTGGCTAAAGCTAACTAAATTGGCTATGTTTCTTGTTCTTTTTCTTAACCAAAGTTTATCAACTTCGTGAATATTATTCTGACTTGTTTTGATATTTATTTTTGATATTTTGTTCTTAATGTTGGTTCTAACTTCTATTTTTTTCTTTTTTTTTTTAAACAGATACAAGGGACCTGAATAGGGGTTTTCTGAATTTGTAGTGATCACTGCAAACACTGAAGATTTTGAAATGATTTCCCATATTCCATTCCTTACTAAATATAAGGTATGTTTCTAATATTTTTGTTCCTTCAAAAGAAGAATTGGGGAGAGCATGTGGAGTTAAAAAAACCAGTGCTTTCATGTTCGTTGACCAGCATTGAAAGAAGTCAACTAAGATCCCAAATCCAGCAACTCAAGGTTTACTTTATTATATAATCTTTAATCTAATTACACACTATCAGATCAATGTTTTTTCTGCAATTGCTTCTTTTACATTGTCTTCTACAAGTTACTGTTCTGCTACTGTTTAGCATGATACAACCAAGGATTGTATTATGTTGAAGATTATTCGTGTTCTTCCCCCTATTGTTCCTAGCAGTCAAGTGAAAGCAAACTCCTCAACATGGGAGGCATCAGGTGAGACATTAAACAACATTGACCATGAAGCAATGGTTGTTGACCCTGCACTTGTATTAACCATCCAGGTTGGCAGTTGTCATTAAAACGATGATGTTTATTATTGTGATAAAATGTTTTGGTTTAACTTTACTGAATTATTATTATTCAGGTTATGTTGACTGACTTTGGGGTAGCAAAGAAATTTGATGAAAGCACAAGGTTAAATTCCATGTGTGGAACATTAGAATATATGACACCTGGAATTGTACAAGGGAGGGGCCATGATAAGGCTGCTGATTGGTGGAGTGTTGGAATTTTAATGTATGAAATGCTTACTGGAAAGGTTGGTGTGCTGTCACCCTTAATTACTTTTAATAAATCACTATTAAATTCCCCTTACTTTTAGCGTGAGGGTAATAATGTAATTTTGTTCGACATTGTATCTTTACAGCCTTTGTTTAGAGGTGGAAACAAATAGAAGATTCAGGAGAAAATAGCGAAGGACAAGATAAAGCTTCCAGGATTCTTGTCAAGTGAAGCACATTCGCTTTTGAAAGGGGTAATGTTCTAATTTGGAATACTATATGCATGGGTTATAGTTGTTGGTTAATATTATATGCATGGGAATACAACAATTTCTGTTTTGAGCTTTTCACCTGATGGGAGGTACAACCGTTCATGCTATTTTAATACATGATGAAACAGAAACACTACAAGTATTTCAATTATATATATATATATATATATATATATATATATATATATATATATATTGTAGGGGTTGATAGCTTTCTCTTAGCTTGGTTGAATGATAAGATGGTGGTCATTGGGATCCATGTGATCATAATTTCCCTGGTGCTCCAACATTTTTGCCAAGTAAACCCATCTGGCCTGACCTCTGCATTGCCTCCTACAAGGTCTGTTACTTGTTATTATGATTTACGATTCTGAGGGTATTTAGGTCATTTACTAAGAATTTTGCGTTTTCAACTTTACAGATAGATCACACTTGCTTGGCTAAACGTTATTCTGTATGCTTTCAAACTTGTCTTCTTCCTAAATTCTTTTTCTTTGTAAGTTTAGCCTTATTCTTTTCTTCAATTAAGTGTTGTCTGGAGAGTGTTGTATAAACAACAATAAATCAACATTTTTTTCCTTCTTTTTCTTGTATGAACAATACATAGTCATAGTTTGACTTAATTAGTTGCTTATTTTGTTTATTAGTTGCTTGTTTTCTAGCTTATTATAGTCACTGATTGGTTTCTTGTTATGCTTAAATCTTAACAGCTATCATGGCAACCTTCAACAGTAGTTTTGGACCAGCACCTTCTTGCAAAAGATATCGTGTACGTGTTCTTCTGCTGCTATTGTGGATTCGGGAACATCCTTGCTTACTGGTACAACTGTATGTATCTCACGTGAAGCTTCTGTTAGAATTATTAATCTTTGAGATTTCAAGTTTTTCATATTTCTTGTATCTAATTAGTTTGTAAATTTCCGTTACAACTTTTATTGATTTGTTTTATCTTTCCATGGAACGATTATTTGTATGACATTATATTTTGAGCAATGGATTGTATTTTTGTATATGATATTTTATTTATTAAGAGACACTGAATGAAATTTTAATTTGAAAATTAATAAATCTATAAATAATATTTTTTTTAAACATATAAAATTACGATATGCAAAATGTGTGTCATCTTCATTTATGACATGGCCTTTCTTGACAGGTGCTTCCTTGATACACAATGTGTGTCATAAATACGCGCGTCGTAAGGTTACGACACGCAAATGCGTGTCGTCTTCCTTTATGACAGGGCCTTCCTTGATACGCATTGCGCGTCGCAAATGTGTATCGTAAATGCGCGTCATAAATGCGCGTCGTAAATGCGTGTCATCTCTCTTTATGACAGGGCCTTCCTTGACGCGCATTTGCGCGTCGTCTGAGCGTTTTACGACGTGCAATGAGCGTCGTAAAAGGCCGTTTTTCTAGCAGTGAAGTCTAAGATGTTCAGACCTATTTGCCATTTCCCACATTTCAAACTATGAAGAGGTATGCCGTAATCATAGTTGAATTTGCGAAACCCAAATTACATAATGCTATCTTCAAAATATCTCGTAGTGAAAGCGTTTCCTCACAATCATTTTCACGAATGAGAAGAAACCTTATGACACTTAGATTTTGTGGTGTATATGTTCCCGTCCATGTGAATTCGCCATAACCATAATCACAAGATAATGTCAGTGACAAATCCAAACTCTTATGGATAGAACTTGTTCTTCTTAATTTCTTGCCATCAAGGGTCCCACCATTACTTCCAAGTTATTTAGCAGCCCACCCCTTCATTTCAATGTACTTTCCATTGAACAAGGTGCCTTTCCCCTATACAATACATCGAGAACTCGTAGAACTCACATGCATAATTAACTCAATTGGAATGGCACAGAAACAAAAATAGTGTAAACATGATAGGTTCTAGACCTCAAGTTGTGTGCTAGTGATGAATGATAAGGTCTATTCTTGATTTGTTCTTGATACCTTTCAAGACCATTAAGACTCTCACTGACTTCTTGACATATAAAATTCTCTTGTCAAAAACCATTTCTTCACAAAGAAATATTCAAGAGTTAGTGTAGCTTTCATCAAGACAAAAACACTTCATATGATTGGTCCTAGTTGGTCTTTGTCTTATCCAAGACATCACAACTTACCAATTTCAAATGTGCAAGAATAATAAAAACCCTTTTCCAAATTCCACATTTGATGAATGTTATAGACCTTCTTAAGACTTGTCACTCAATTCACAATCTTGGAGTATAACTCTAAGACTTGATATTGGAACAAAGTATTATTGACTTCTTGATTTAACCATTTCCACAATTCCCGATTCCTCTTCTTAGACATAAAAATTGTACTAAGACTGACTTACAGGATCAATTAAGATATGGTTCTTAATCATTAAGACCTATCATAAAACAGAATAAAAGGTACTCTCCCTTCTTCTTAGAGAGGAGAAACTTTTATCTTTCTACCTACTTGACTCTTCTTATTTGTTCTGCTATTGATTGAAACTCTTTTAATCAACCCAAAATTATACTTAATCTTATAAGTATAACCATATTCACTAAACTTTAGTAAATCATGACCAATATCTTTGTTACTCTTGTGGTAGACTTGATCAACGTACGACCTAGTGTACTCAATCTCTTAGTCCTTAAATTGACATTTTGTCATAAATTAGTATAAATTTCCCAAATGTGAAAGTTTTCATTCATCATGCAATACTTGTTGCACGATTCCAAGTTCCTATCCACTTGAAACTTGGGCAATGAGAAACTCTCCCTATTTGGTAAACTCTTGACACTTCCACAAATAACCTAATTAAGATTAAAATCCATTTTGCTAATAATAAAAGTACACAAATATCAATTTTCATATACGCCATTGTAAGGATAACAAATAAGATAAAACCAAAATTTATTTTATTTATAAAAGCATTGGAAAACATGTCCTTACAATGCAAAATTCGAATGAAAAAACTATGTAATCAAATACTCCTAACAAATCTATAATAACTTCCTAAGCTCAAAATCTTATCTTTGAATCCATGCGATCGTAATCCATTTCTTCGTGATCAGACTCATCTTTCTCTTCCATCAAACTTCCTCTCTTTTCTCTAATCCTGCAAAACATGCAAATGTAATCTTATCACATTATGTATACAGAATAGGAATTTAATGGAGTTAGATATTGGATTTTATACCTGAAGTAGAGCCATACTTCTTGACTCTCTCATCTCTTAGACTCTTCAGGTCCTTTGGGTAGCTTCATATCCATTTCCATTCTCTTGGCAGCAGAAACAGGTGGGTTCTTCTAGAATGTCCACGGAAGCATGGTTTGTTGAATTACCAGAAAAATATGCTCCATTACTTCGCCAAATCATTTCTGATTCAGTAGCAGTAAGCATGTAAGATAAGTCAATTAGGGTCGCATCAAGATCCATCATGTATATGATTTAGGGAGTGACTAAAGAACATTATTGGGAAAAGACGCACCCAACATAATCAACCTAACAATGTGTGGTTTCATCCCTAGGACGTGAGCACACACTGGTTTACCATCTTCATGTTCCATTGCCAATAGGGTTTCGGTGATCTTTAACCTTTCAAATCTTGGATCTTGTGGGTCGGGGAGAACAACTGGAGAAGGAGGAGGAGGAGGGAGTGAAATCAAGCTAGTCCACATTGATCCTTCACTTTGGAACAAGCTTTTACTTTCAACAGGAACACCTTTTCCTTGGGATTTGGGAAGACCATGGTTAGAGTCAGACATCTACAAAACGGGATAGATTTCAAGTTAGTTGATTGAATCCATAATGAAGCACCCAAATGAGACATTAAGGCTAGGATCCAACAACATTATTTACACATTAGTAGAGGGATGCCGTAATCTAACATGCAAATAATTTGGAGGTAAGTGAATAACGATACACTAATTCTTCACCATAAAAAAAACATAAAGGCTTAAGTTTTAAATATATTAAGAATTCCTAGATTTCCTTTGAGATTCATTGAATTTTTCAACGGCATGTTTAAATCTCGATATGCCCCTCTCGTTTGTGATTGGGATGCCGAGGATCACAAAGTGGGTGTGAATAACCATGCAAATGTATATGGTTCCCTCATTGTTACAGTCACCTATTCGATGTGCCGGTAAACCACACACAATCCATCGAACTATGACAAACATTGAGTCACCCTTTGCCGCCTTTGCTTAGAACCCAATTAGTGTGCCGGTTAACCACACACGCTCCACTAACGTCTTAGCAAGGGTACAAAGTGTAATTTCATGGGATTGCATCAACTTCACTTTTGCCTAAAGTAACTAGGATTCGGAATTTTTAAAAGCGTTTAGTTACTTTATATAGATTCATTATGCTTATTAATGAAGAGAGGATTGCCATATCCTAGCCGTTCGGCTAACGACCCTCCACCAATCAAGGAAGCGGTGGGTAAGAGTGGATACCCATTAAACGGCCATTTTATAGGCCATAACCTTATACCCTCTTATAGATCGGCTTCGTGAATGAGGCCTACTAATGATAAGACTAGCATTTTAGTTATACATATATAATATTAGATTTTTAATGTTATACATAGTATAAGGGTGTATTTTACACTATTAAAATACTAGGTGGCTTAAAATTTTACATTTTACACTTTTGATAAAATATAAACCTCATCATTATGGATTTATTAACTCTCTTTTAATTATACACTTAATTAATTTAATAAAACCATAAGGGTGTAATTTGAAAATTGTTAAATTCTAAAACTTGAGGGCAGGTTTTTGAAACTTTTCAAAACAGTTAGGTTTTAATCTCACTTTAAAAATTTTTGAATTTAAGACTATTTAAATTAAAATTTTAAATATTAAAACTCTTGATTTAATAATTATCTTGACTTAAACTATTAATTTAAATTATTAAATCATAAAGGATAATTACAAATTAAACAATTAATTTATCCTAATCCTTTTAATCCCTCTAAATTTCGAAAATCATGGGATAGGATAATTCAAAATCTTTAATTACCATATATAACCATTAAAAGATAATTACAAGATATGGGATAATCCAAATCCATAAAATTTAGGATCTTATCTTGGGGAGGAGGTTAATTTCGAAAATCATAGGGTTTTGCAAACCCTAGATTTCGAAATCTTGAGGCTTAAGGAAAGGATTTGAAAACCCTTTCAAATTTTCGCAAATTAGGGTATAGAAACCCGAATCTCGAAATTTCTAGCCTCCTAGGGTTTATTGGCTATAAACCCTAATATGTCAAGTTCATATAATTGTATAATACTAATTGAAAACAAGTTAACCAAAGGCTCTGATACCACTGATGGGATTTGTACAAACAATCCTATGTGTGCATGCAACCCTCGAATTGGATCTATGTTTTTACTATTAGATACACAACATTATGAATACATAAAGGAACCCTAGTATTATCTAGTATTTTATAAATTCATATAGTAGATTAGATTACATACCTTTTGTTGTTTTATTGCAATAACAACTCAAATCTTCAAACCCTAAGTCTTGAAAGCAAGTACCACAAGTGTAGTACCTCTAATGGCTCACAAACACCAAGAGCAAATGGAGAGACAAGAGAGAGAGAAGGAGGAGTTATGAAATCGTCCCTAAGAACCCTTTAGGAAGGCATGGATGAATTCTTATGGCCTTAGGGGTCTTTATATAGGTGTAGAGATTAGGGTTTCAGTCATTATCCTTATCTAGTTGCTTGCCCACCAAGCAATCATAAGATAAGCCGTGAAAACCCTTATCCTTTATCCTTTGGACGATTTCATGGATATCTTATCCCTTGAGTTCATCCAACCCATATCAGTGATAACT